CACTCAGCGAGGGGAGGAGCAAGGACTGCCGGCAGGGTACCCAAGAAGAAGAGGATCAGGGCTGCTCTGTGCAAACCCATTGCACAGAGCAGGTAAGTATGACAAGTTTGTTATTTTAAAATGAAGCTTTAATATTATTTCAAAATCCAAAAGAAGGTAGCAGTATACATGCAAAAAAATTACAAATTTGCAGTTAAAAGCAACTCTTTCCATAGAAGAGAACGCAAAACCTTCCAAAAAAAAGAGTGCCCACAAGTGACTGCACATACCACTCATACTGCAGTCATGGACTGCCCCCTTCCCTCATGTTCCTACTGGTTACTGAGCCTGCATATCATATAAGGACCAAAAGCTAAATGTATGAGGAAAGAGCTAGCTGTAAATTTACGTCCAGAAATCAGTATCTGTATATCAGTGTTCTCCTGGTTTTCAAAGTCTCAATGCACATTATGAAGGACATATAGGGGCCCCCGTGGGGGTGTCTGCTTCTTCATTCTCGATGTAAGTTTAAATTTCTTTTCTATGGAAAGGGTTGCTTTAAATCTATGCAGGAAGCAAAAATAGGACATCCAGTTCTGTAGCAGCCATGTACATAACATTTCTATTTTTCTAAATGTGTATCTTCTTTGGATAAGCAGAACAGAATTAATAAAAGCAGCAAATTTAATGATTCAAGTGCAGCCAGCATGGAAAGGCAGGATCCAGTCCAGTATCATGGAGAGAGGATTTTCCCTGTTGCTAGGAAAACCAAATACCAAAAAAATATGTGGCTAGATTAAAGCGATCAAACTAATGGCAAGATGTTTAAAAAAAATGCAATTCTAAAAGTGTCACATGAATTATTTCCTTTATGTATACCATGAAAAATGAGTGAGGAATCAATGAAAAGATTAAACATGCCAACTGTTTATCTGTAAGGTAACACCAGATGCTTAGAAAGGAATTCATTCTGCGTGGCAGAATGCCTGTGTGAAAGCAATTTTCAGAAACAAATATGCAGCCTCATATCTGCTAAGATTATTCATCTTCTAATATTCAATGGTTTAGTGAAACCATTTTATTAAAGAAACATACCTCTCACAAAGCAGCACTGTAGGCCTACATAATGAAATAAAACTAAAAGCATGTGGATGATGCTGGATACAAATCATGAACATGGCGCATTAGCTATCAATTACATTTTAGATTAGAACAGCCTTTTTCAACCAGGGAGCCCAGGCACCCTGGGGTGCTTTCAGCTATCTTCAGGGGTGCCTTGGCAAAATGCCCAACAATTGTCCTAAAATTGTATACAAGCCATTGGGCGGATCAGAAGATTGCTGGCATCACGGTTAAGTGAAGGCATCAGCTTTATTATTAACATTGGTGTATACAGCACAAACAGTCAACATGTTTCCACCATAAGGGCCTTACTCATGACTTACACATTTACATATTACACATTTGGTAAGGATCAAGCCTGCCTTTTATTTAAACAAAGCCACAGGTTTCTACTGTGTAGCCTTAAGGCCTAATTCACACTGACATTGAAAACAGGGATTTGAGGGTTTTTTTTTTAAAGCTCCTCAAAAGCCTTTGCAAATGATACTATGGGCAGCACACAGTGCTGTTCACATTATCAAAACATAAAGCATTAGCATCACGTTGCTTCAAAATTGACGCCTCATGTCGAGTCAGGAGGAGTTGGAAGCCTTTCAACGCCTCCCATTCAAGTCTATGTTGATGCTCCACAAACGCGCTGGAAGGCATTTGCGATGCGGTTGCAGTGCGTTAATAACATTGCAGTTTATTATAGACATTTGTGGTGTGGTTTTAACTCTTCAAAACTGCACATAAGGCATTTGGGGAGCGTTTTTAACGCTTGTAAAAAGCAAGTCTAACACCCATACTAATGCTCATTAATGTCTGTCTAATGCCTTTATTAAAGCTATAGGAGTGTTTGGTAAGAGTTAGAAATTTAGTAAAGTGTGAACAAGCCCTAAAACCTTCTAACCGCAGGTGTCCTAACAACCAATGACATAATAGGCTGATAAGGAGATTTTTGGGCACCTACACTGCATTCTTGTTTGCCTCTTTTCATCAGCAGTGGGGTCACATTAATCAGTGAGGCAGAAAACTGAGGGAGAAGAAGAAAAAATTGGAATACTAGTAAGTACCAGAGTGCAACGGGTATTGCTTGGTAAGAATAACGTTGGCTGTCCTACATGTGTGGATGTTGCACTATGTAAAAATTATTAGTTTCGTTTTTTACATTTTAGACTGGAGTGCCTCGCAAATTTTAAAGGGTGTCTTGACTGAACAAAGGTTGACAAACCCTGGATTAGAATTTGCTTTGAGCTTGTGGATGATACCAGATGAGATGGCACTGTCAGAGATCACTGTTTAAAGGGCTGTACACACTTTTTAAAGTAAAAAGTATACATCTCTGTAAACGATGGTCTAAAAATCCTACCGAAGTTCTGTTCATGGTTAGCCATAACTAAAATCATTATAATCATTATTGCATATTACAGCCACTAGCAGAAAAGGCAGAAGGTCTCTCAATTCTATTTCTCCTTGGCTAACCTTGATAGATAAAGTAGAGAATAGTTAATACCTCTTTCATTTTAGGGCTGTTTGTGCCCTACCAAGGAGATCTCCTTTCACTTCCCTTCCTAGAGTCAGAACGAGAAGTAAAAGGATATCTCTCCAAAGCGTGCAGACAGTTGTTAGAGGGACAGGTGTTCTCATTGTTCTTGCCTCCTATTGCTGTGACAGATACACAATTTTGGATTTCCCTCCATCTTCTGTACTAGAAACAATGGTTATCAGGACAAATAGAGAGGATAAATCCTCCCAGCAAAGACACAGACAGCAATAAAAACCTGAGAAGTGGGTTTGACACTTTCCCCACTCTCAAACTAAAAAAAGTTTTGACTTCATACTGTATACACTTTCAATTCGACTACCAACATGCTTTTTTTTTTTAAGATGACCACTTTCCCCTTCTCTTCTGGTGTCCAGTAAACAATATTGCTTGATGAATCTTTATCATGTTTTAGCATGTCTGATCTACATCAGTTACCTCTGCATTTTGATGATGGCCATGTGCTAGTTGACATCAAGTAAGAAGACTATAATTATAAGATCTTCTGTGGTTAGGACATGCATAAAATACTTCCTAGACTTGTAGTATGAAAGGTTGACAACTTGGCCAGGTCAATTTCTGCAATTTCCCAACACTCTAAACTATGGTTTAACAAGATGCAACTTTGGTACAAAACACATTTTGGTGTGCAAGCTGGATGGCCATAATCAGGCCAGTGAATAGGCTACTGCTGTATGGGGTCCGGGAAACTACCTCTAGAATTAAGTTTTCGACTTTGTATTGCCCTCCTACAATACTATCAGACTACAACTGAGTCAGATCTCAGAAGTTAACGGTTAAGAATTCTGTTTGGGAGTTAATTTAAAGGTTAAGTGTTAGGCTGGATGTAAAGGTTGAAGGCTTATGTTAGGGGATTGTATAGGGGGAGGGTTTATTGTGCTGTATTGTAAGGAATACTTTAGATATTGGGGACACTTTGAGGAACTTCAGTATTTGTATTTTTTCCAGCACCAAAATTCCCATACTAAAAAACAACCACATGGGAAGGTAGAATGGGGCACTGAGTTTAAGTTGTATAAGACTTAGATTTCCTATGGTGGCCCTGACATTCTGTATCGTGCTGACCACTAAATGTTGTTCATAAGACATTTCATGCTTTATTACACCTAATTTGAATGCCATCTTCAGTTCAGATAATACTGCTAAAAAACTTTCTGTGAATGTTACGTTTTGGCTATTAATCTTTACTGATGTGGTATATCAGTGTTTTTAAAGTGATGCTGACGCTATGCTAAAGTAATTATATGAGAGCCAGGCTGTAAAAGAAGTGGTATAGTTACCTTTATGGTGTCCAGCAAGTAAACTAATCACTCTCTTACAGAACCCTGGAAGCTGCTGATATCTTATACTTAACTAGGTATGTTGATTAGAATGTCTCCAGGTGTTCACTGTCATTCCTCCTGCTGCTTGCTATTACCTCACAGGACACAGAATCCAGTAGAAGGAACCTCAGTGAGTGGCAGGTGTCATGACAGAGCTGAAAGTCTGTTTTACAGAGCTTTGCAAGAAAGCAAAAAATTCACTTGCTAGCAACCTTTTTTGGCTGAACATTTGCCCTGTGTGTTTGTAAAAATGGCACACAAGGAGGAAAATTGAGTTAAACATTTTTTTTGCTCTATTTTACTGGGGAGGGGGCTATAAAGGACTTGTAAAAAAAAGTGTGCATGTTTATTTACATTTTTTTTTCTGAATGAGTAGAGGTATTATGTACCTCACATGAGTTGGAGGGCCAGTGGGTACGTCACCCCCCCCCCCTTATTTTTAAAAGGGAATTCCAAATTCTGATACCCCACCAAACCACAACTGGGCCTGAGTTGTGAGGAAGCAGTCCTTGTCCTCATCGACATGGGGGGACAAGATGCTTTGGCAGGGGGTCCCCCTGGCAAGTTACCCTACCCATGTTGAGGCCATGTGGTCTGATATGGTCCAGGTGGGTGAAGCACGCTTGTTCTCCTCTTTCCTAACCATCCACACTGCATGTTTGGATAAGTATCTGGTATGGATTTTGTGGGGAACGTCACACTTTTTTTCTTGTTTTTGGAATGGGGTTCTCCCTTAAAATTCATATTATGTTGTATGATACTTTACCCAGTTGGTGAGAAAATTCAAAAGCAATGCAGACATCACATGCCTTTGTCTTATATCAGTCTTTACTTCAAAATACAGATCATTATAACTCATACTGCAATCAAAGTCGCTTAAAAAACCATTTAACCGCCTCCCGCCCGCTATATAGTACAATGACGGGCGCGAGGCAGTTCTCTCGTTCTGGGAGGACGTCATATGATGTCCTCCCATTCTAACAGCGTATGTGCGGCTCCGGGAGCATGCAGCGCGGCTATCGGCGGTGCGCTGTGTCCGAGGATCACCAAACAATGGAAAGAGCCGAAGATCTCGGCTTGGTCATGTGATCAGCTGTGTCCAATCACAGCTGATCACATGTAAACAGGGAAATGCCAGGAATCGGCATTCCTCAGAGGGGACATGTACACAGATCATCAGAGCACTGATGATCAGTGTGCCCTGATGATCTGTGTATCCCCAGCCGTGCCACCTGTCAGTGTGCATCAGTGCCAGCTGTCAGTGCTCATCCATGCCACCTGCCAGTGCCCTTCAGTGCCACATTTCAGTGCCCATCAGTGCCACATCAATGCCACATATCAGTGCCCATCTGAGCTGCCTTTCAGTGTCACCCATCAGTGCCAATCAGTGCCACCTATCAATGTCAGTCAGTGCCACCTGTCAGTGCTGCCAATCAGTGCCGCCTATCAGTGCCAGTCAGTGCCGCCTATCAGTGTGCATCAGTGCCACCTATCAGTGCCCATCAGTGCTGCCTAACAGTGCCAGTCAGCGCCACCTAACAGTGTCAGTCAGTGCCACCTATCAGTGCCATATATGAGTGCTGCCTTTCAGTGCCCATCAGTGATGCCTATCAATGCCCATCAGTGCCACCTACCAGTGCTTCCTAATCAGTGCCCATCAGTGCCACCTATCAGCGTCCATCAGTGCAGCCTATCAGTGCCCATCACTACAGCCCCATTTGCGCATATCAGTGAAGGAGAAAAATCACTTATTTACAACATTTTATAACAAAAACTAAGAAAAAAATTTTTTTTTTTCAAAATTTTCAGTGGTTTTTGGTTTGTTTAAGAAAAAATAAAAAACCCAGAGGTGATTAAATGCCACCAAAATAAAGCTCTGTCACAAAAAAATGATAAAAATTTCATATGGGTACAGTGTTGCATGACCGCGCAATTGTCATTCAAAGTGTGACAGCGCTGAAAGCTGGAAATTGGCCTGGACAGGAAGGGGGTATAAGTGCCCTGTAGACTAGTGGTTAAAGGAGAAGTGAGAGATTTGAAAAAAAAAAAAGCAAACACACATTCTTGATGCGATGCTGCAGCTGTTCCCTGCTGACTCTAAGACCAAGAACTGAGTGATCACTCAGTTCTCAGTCTTCATTGAGCAGAGAGAGGTGACTGTCAGTCACCGGCTCTCTAATCTGCCTCTTCAGTGCTCACTGTGGAGCAGGGGCAGACTGATAACTCATGGTGCCCCCGGGCAATAGGGGATCATGGGGCCCCTGTGTCCTTGTCCACGCTCAAAGCACACCCAAAAAAGCCTATAAAATGTACCAGGGGCATTTAATGGGGCCCCCTACTGACCCTGGGCCCTCAGGCAGTGCCTGAGTGCTCGAATGGTCAGTCCGCTCCTGCTGTGGAGGGTTTCAGATCTATCTGCGCTACACGCACCAGTTTTTATTTCAGAGTGAAATAGAAACTGGAGCAGGGTCTTCACTTAATTAGCAAAGAGATTGTGGCAGGTTTCAATATAGAAAACTGCCACAGATACCCAGCAGAAAAAAATAGTTCATATGTATTTCAACTGCGTATTCAGCTGCTTGCCAGGGGTTTCGTTTTGATAACTCCTTGCCATATTAAGCAATACCTGCTATGTGAATTAGCCCAAACCAATATCCCTCTACTTCTTGTGTTATTGGGGCAGAAGAAATGGGTTGGTTGATCACTTGGAGGGATACAGACAGTTCCTCTTTCACACATTTCCAAAGTAAGTCTGATTGTATTTTAGCAAACCCAGTGTTAATCATTGACTAACTGTCAATCATTGCTATAAAAGGTGAATTAGTCTATTGAAAGTTGTTCAGCCAGTCAGTACACACATTTCCATAGCAACTGAATTTCAAGTCAATTCAATCACAGAAGCCTCAAAACTGGATTTTTTTTTTTTTTTTTTGAGAGATTGTCTGTTTAGAAAAAAGGAGTACAAATTGGAGAACAGATGCACGTCATAGATCAGAAGATATGTGAGAACAAAATACTGACCATAATATATTATGAAACAATCACAAATGCTTATTCTGCCTGCAGGATGAATATTTAATATTTGTATCACTGACTCTGATACATACATAATGTACATTTTGTATAGTAGGGAAGAGAAAATATAATTATAATTAATCCACTGCTTGATCTTTTACTTTTTGTAGCAGAGTGACATTTCTATTTAAATTAATTTAATGAAAATCTGCAGTGAGGGAAATATGTGGGCTGTAATTGCTGTCCTCCTTCTGAAAATACTATTTGGCTGGTGGCCTCTGTGGGATATCAGAAAGAAATCAGAACACCTAAATTGTAAACACATTCCAAATCAGTAACTTACGAAATACAAAAGTCAGAGGTTCAGCATGATAAAACAACAATAACCATTTTCAATAGAAGTCAACAATGGCAGTGTCCACATTTTTCTCAATGCAGGTTTTTCTTTAAAAAATATGCCAACCCAACATTTTATATCCCTCAATATATGTCTGCTGTACCATGTACTTATATGAAAAAAATTACTTTGTTCTTTGTGTTGTTTTCTTTGTGTGAAATCCCTGGTGTTCCTGCCAGTCCCTCTGCTTTCCTGGTGGTTGTGGTCAGTTCTCTGGCTGTACTGGGGGCTAATCCAATGATCAGGCTTGTGCTGATAACCCCAGCCCACACACACAGCCATTCACTGGGAAGATCAGTGTACTGCTGTTTCTACTCCCTAAGTTTCTTATGAGAACACATAAAAAAGGGGAAAAAATATTTATAAAGTTTTTTTTACGTGCACATACTGTTATGCCTTTCTTTTCTATTTTAAACTGAATAGGTTGTTTTACAAGGTGAGGGTTTACATATCCTTTACATTAAGACTAGGGATATCTTATTTTTAACAGCAAACTTGAAGTATGGTAATGCTCAAGAGGGGAATTAAATTTAGACACTTAGCATATAGTTTGGATTTATATAAGTTTGGGTACACAGATATTATAGAGAATATTGTGCTTTCTATAAATTAAGATATAATAATTCATTTTATGTAACCAGCAACTATACTCTTACAGAGACTCTCAGAGGAAGGAGCAAACTGGTGCAGGTATGAAGTGTAGGCACCTAGATGTGATTGTGCTGAGACATGGGGTGGAATAACACATGGGCAGGGCCAAACCAACACAGAGGCATTTGGGGGGATTAAGCTGCAGAATAAATCTCTCCTGGTTCTCTGCTTGCTGTCTCCTGCACACTGCAGCACCTGGCTGTGAAAATGACAGCCCTGGCCATGCAGCTTAGACTGGAACAGCAGGTTCTCTGATATAAATAGCATGGTGACAGCCAGATCCCAATGTATATTAAGGGTGCTAATTGTAGTTCCTGACACACACCACAGAAGCCTGCCTGTCAAAGCAAACCTGACATAAATAAAATGTTCCCACCAATATTATCCCCTTGGACCCATTCACCCACTTCTCCACTCTGTTATCCCTTGGGGCCCATTTACACTTCTCTGTGCTAGAATATGTCTGGTGATAGTTGCATTAAACATAATTGTTCAAATTGTGATCGGTCCCTGAGTAGGTTCGTTAAACGTGAGTTCAAGGTTATTCATTTTGAATGGGGTGCTAACACAGGAACACACCTAGTGCATGACTACGTGTTACAGTGATCTGCAACAAATCTATGTCTAAGCTGCATAACCTTAGTATGTTGGGATGCCATTTAAAATGAAGGGCACCACAATATGCTAATTCTTGTAAGGTGGATTGCAATAACACACATTCTAACTAATGCATTATAATGCATCAAACTGCAAAGGTATGAATGACTCCTTAGTTAACATTAATTGTTTTTGTTGACTATCTTGTCTCTTTTTTTATATATGAACTTTTAACATTAGTAATTGTTCATTTTTGCAGCGCTGCCTTTAAAGAATGTTTTGTACCAGAAACATAATTTATCACAATAAAAGAAACAAATCTTAGAATAAAATCTTCAGTTTATGTGTGTTATAAATAATATAAATAAAATATAAACTATTTTAGTTTCAAAATGGATGAACACATTTTAGTTCTGTTTTGCCATGCTCACTATTACTAAATCACACTAGTTTAACTATGTCACAACATGTCTCCCCATCTTTATTATTATTTTTATTATTATTATCATACAGTATTTATAAAGCGCCAATAGTTCGCTCAGCGCTGTACATTAGAAAGGGGGACAGAACATGTGACAGAACAATACCAATACAATGCAAAACATGAGGGGATCAAGGGCCCTGCTCTTTCGAGCTTACAATCTAGGAGGGAGGGGATGGTGGCACAGGAGGAGATAGCTGTGGGGGGATGGAGTGGTAGGAAGAGTGGAGGAGGTCGGCAAGTTAGCAGGGGGTGGGGTAGGCTTCCCTGAAGAGGTGGGTTTTCAGGGTGCGCCTAAAGGAGAGGAGAGTAGGTGATAATCTGATGGGTTGGGGCAGGGAGTTCCAGAGGATAGATGATACCCTGGAGAAGTCCTGGAGGCGGGCATGGGAGGAGGAGACCAGGGAACTAGAGAGAAGGAGGTCTTGTGAGGAGCGGAGTGTGCATGCTGGGTGGTACTTGGATATTAGGTCGGTGATGTAGTTCGGGGCAGTATGGTGGACAGCTTTGTACGTCAGTGTTAGGATTTTGAATTTGATCTGTTGCGCAATCAGAAGCCAGTGGAGGGATTGGCAGAGGGGGGTGGCGGAAACGGAGCGGTTGGAAAGGTGAATGAGTCTGGAAGCCGTATTCAGGATCGACTGAAGCGGGGATAGCCAGTGGCGAGGCAGGCCAGTAAGGAGGGAGTTGCAGTAATCGAGTCGTGATACGATGAGGGAGTGGATGAGCTGTTTAGTGGTTTCTGGGGTTAGGAACGTGCGTATTGTGGCGATGTTGCAAAGGTGGAGTCTGCATGAGTTTGTTAAAGATTGGACTTTTGTCTGGTTTGCTGATATGGGCCAAAATTGGATATCATGGGGCCAGAGAACTGTCATTTCTGGCCCCTTTATTAGGCTTGCCATTGTATGTGTACACATGCAAGCAGGACATAGAATGTTTTACTCAGCGGGCTGAGAAGAAAAATGCAGCATGTAAACTGCGCAGCTTGCCATGGCTTTTGTGGGTTTAGTAAAAAAAATTGGGCATGATCAATAAAGTAAGTATTGCTTCATAGCTTTCAGTGTGCCACCTTTCTATTTTTGTTTTGCTATGGATTATACAAAATAGAGGTTAGGGGTACAATAAAGACATTGTGTCAGTAAAACAAGTCCTATTTTTGGTGTAGGAGACAGCAGAAAAGTAACCCTCAGCATTTGTGTCAGTGCCAGCAATGACAAACCCCAGCATGTGTCAGGGTCAACAGTAACCCACAGTAAGTGTCTGGGCCAATAATAACCACCAGTATGTGTCAGGACCC